TTTTGGGTGACGTCTGGAACTAATTTTTCCTCTCAGCAAAATTCCTTTCCCTTTACCTTAGAGCACAACTCAGTTCTGATGCAATTGTCATGTTTAGAATGATCCTTTAAGGACAGTACATAAAAGAATTTAAATTGTGGTAAAATTTTGCACGAGTTATAATGTATGCACCCTAAGAACAGAAAATTGAGGCTTAAAAAAAAATCCTGAATTTTAAAGGCCAGTGTACGTTTAATACCACTGTCCCTGTAAGACATCTTTTTCCTGTGTAGCTGCCAATTGTTAATTTTTGTTTTTTTAATCTATTTTTGCATACTTCTGATGTGTGTCTATGGAAATGAGTGCTTCAATATAGTTATGCAAGTTTGAAGTAAAAAAGTTGTAAAATTTCTCTAGAAATTTAAAATTTTAGAAATAAAATTTCGGTTTTTAAACACTGTGATGGTGCCACCCAGTTGAACATACTTATGTAAAATATGTGTTAAAATTTTTTGAAAGAAATTTAATTTCAGTGTTATTTTATCAAAAAATGTATCAAATAGAACACTGCATCCGTTAACCATATGCAGTAACTGAACTAGTATAATGTTAGAAGGAAATGTAAGTCAGCTGAAAATAAAAAGTTGAAAAATTAAATGCTACGATTCAGTCGAAAAATTAAAGTTACATTCTTGAAGTTATTATATTTCATGCTTTAGATAATACATAGAAAGAACATTCTTCTTGCTATGATACCAAGAACTCCCCTCTGTACACGCTTTGATTATTCGGCCCCGTAAGGTTCTAACGTTTTGCAAATATAGTTTGTAATATATCATTTTGTTCAGGAAGAAAAGCTGTTAAACAATTTTATTATTTAACCCTCAGCTGGAGGGGCTGGCATATGGTACAATATTAGAGGAATGGCGTATGAAGTACGCCAGGTCGTTTTTCGAGCCTCTGCTTCGTGTTTGAAACTATTTAATCTTGTACATGGCATTAATAAGGTGATTCGTCATAGTAACAATGATATAAGAAAATTAATAACAGAAAAAAAGCAGTAAAAATGGAAATTACAAATTTTTAATTAATTCAAAAAATGAATGTACTGGAAATGTAATTTAAAGTTATACAGTATTCTGTATTATTTTCTGTATGAAAATTATAAGATCATAAATCAAATTTACAGATTATAAATATTCCGTAGAGAAAAGTTCGGTAAGTAATAAATTCCACAAATGAAAAAATTAGAAAACTTTTGCTGCTTTAATCCTCTTCAGATTGTCTCTGTTTACTGCAGCAAAGTTTGCAAAGTTGTACTGTCTTGCCCAGATAATTTTTGCTGGTAAACTTAGAACACCCAGAACATTTTATGGTAGTGTAATTATTCTTCATTCTACCAAACTCGGTGCAGCGTCCTTTGATCTTTTTTGCAGGTGGTTCCTCATCCCTTTCGGCCGTCTCGTCCGCTTCTGTTGTTACCAGCCTTCTAGTAATAGCTTTGGAATGCGACAGGAGAAATGGCATTTTTAGACGATTCTAAAGTTGAGGTTTCATCAAAGATGTAGCTAGATTTTTCAAAAAATATCTTCTAAACTTGATGGTTGCATCAGGTTTACAAACTTCAAGAGCACTTGCGAATTTATGCCCGCTACGTTTAGCAGTGCAAATATTGCCATTGCACCTCTTGGTTTTTCTGGCGACAGTGAAATTACTACAAAGTTGGTCTACGGTGTCAACTTCGCCTTTGTTATAATCCAGGATTACGTGAGGTTTATTTGTTTCCTGGCCAATTTTGTCATCGTGTAAGGTACTGAGCAGTAATGCACACTTATTTTTTTAGTTGCATATGAAACAATTGTGACAAACTAAAATTAGAAGCCTCGTAAGGTGTTGGGGATTGATTACCACAATAAATCTCAAGCTTCAATGTATAAAACGTTCGTGAGTCAACAACTGGAAAATTTTTCAGACCATGCTTTGCGGGCTTCTTGGGAATGAATTGAATAAAAGAGCATCTCCCGCGAAAGGGTTCCAACTTCTAGTCGATTGTGAGTTCGTCACCTGGTGTATAAAAGTTTTGACAGTTCCGGTTGAAAGATTAAAAAAATTCTCTTAGTGCAGCAAGCTTATCAGTTTTTCTTCTCACATACCTTATGCCTTTATCGTCGAATCTAATAGCAGCACGCAGGTTTCTAAATCGCTTGAGACCCATGACCCTTTGCAAAATTTCAATTCCAGTACTGTCTTTTGCCCATGCTTCCTCCACATTGAGTTTTGGCATTTTTTTGCACCATAATAAGAATAAAGTTCCTAAAAAGACCAATATTTCATCTCTATTAGTATCATACATGCTTCTCTGTGAGATGTTTTGGAGATCATCTGCAGTCCTGTTACATTGGAAATAAATATTCATATATTGTACAATAGCATCAATCATATTTGTATTTATGATTTCTGGAAAGCAGAAAGCTCATAATTTATATCGTCATAAGTTTTGGCACTTAAGAATATTTTTTTCATCAAATTTTTCCGAGGTGTTCTCGCGAATTTGCCCTTGATGGGAACTTTATTCCATTTATGTTTCCTTTTCTTCTTTCAGAAACTTTCCTCCAACTTTCTTCGTTTTCTAAATTTTTTTTACAAAAAAGTCCTCATATGGACTTACTATGTCATTTTCAACATCACTAAAATTGTCATTTGTTGGGGAAACATCATTTGAGGAAGGAAAAGGAGTATGTTTAGAAATACTTCCCTCAATTTCTGAGTTACTTTCATGATCAGAATGTTCGATGACTTCTGATTCATCGACATCATATGCATTATCCAATTTGTCGAAATCTTCATCAACCAAGATTTCTTCTAAAATAGGCAAATAATCTTCTGGAAGTACAATATTGATTCTGTACATACTTGGAGGAGCAACGTACTGTGTTCGCCTACGCGACATATTCACAATAACTGCTTTCGGGAGGAAGACGAAAATCAGATTGACCAGAAATACCAGATGTGCTGCACTCATGGAATGTTTCTAGGAAGGTAGAGGAAGGGAGGAAGCTCAGGAAGGGGTTGCATAAAAATTACAGCCCATAAGATGGCATTGGCATAAATCTGTACACTAGCTCCTCCATTGCAGGGTTAACCCTTTTGGCCCTAATGAGCTTATACGTCCCAGAGATTAAATTTCATTCCTTATTGGTGAATAAAACCCACTTTTAAATGGGTTTTTACGTTTGCAGTGTTTGTAAGGAATTTGAGAGCAAATATATGACTAAAGAGACCTGGCCTATATGCTAAATGTATCAGGTTGCACTTTGTAAAGACTGTTTTACACCATATCATACTTAACTTGTGCTATAAAAATAATAAAATATTCGGTACATTTAATTTAACTTTATTATTTATTCACATGCAGTGTAAGGTTATTATCACAATGTCCTAGATGATTGGAACAAATAATTTCAGTTGACAATACCATTGGGACATACTGTCCCAGGAGATTTCCAGGAAGCGGGAATAGTTAAAAACTTTAAACTCGTATTACATTTCTTTTAGAATGGGAACATTCAATTAAACTACTTTTCATAGTTAAATTTTAATCATGCAAAGGTCTGGTCAAAAAGGTCCATACGCTTCAAAGCCCTTATTTCAATTTTCAGTCCCTTAGGGGCCTCTGTTTAACTTTTCAATAATTTAGGTAGTAATATATAATTTGCCTAGGAAGAATATCTCTTCAACAGAAGTAAAGTACTAACACACCTCAAAGCCTTTTTTTAAAATTGTTGGGCTCACGGGCTCCGTGGAACCAGTGTATATTTTCATTCCTAAGATAAATTATTTTGTCTGAAACTGGCCTTAGAAATATTTTCCTCCTTTACTCCAGCTGTGAAAACTTATTTCTGAAACCACCTACTTATATACTACCTCCTTACCCAGGTGAAAAATTTCTCTTATGTTTCTTAGTCCAATCTAAAATTAACAAAGATGATCTAAGGCATAAAAGCATCTTTCAAATCATTTGATTTTCCTTTTCACTACCAGGTAAAAAGAGACAGAACTAAAGTGTATTCCTATTTTCTATGTTTATAAATGAACTTCTCTTTTGTGTGATCTTACCTTGCAACTTTGCAGTGGATTATCAAATTACCCAATCACCTTTTTTCATTTGCGCTGCATTATAGGGTTTTGGAGAGCATGCAGCAGTGGGTGTCTTATGGGGCTAACATGCCACATTTAAACCCTAAAATTGTGTAACATTTTAGCTGCAGATGACAATTATGAAATAGATGAGTTTTCTCGGGGGAGGGAAGGGTGAAGTGTTGAAATGAAAGTTTTAGCTGAATAAAGATAAATGAAAACTCAACTGGAGTTAGCGAAGTATATATATATAAAAAAAATTAATACTTTTATTCATTCTCAGCACAAGGTCAGTAAACTCCCTATCCCCCCATGAACATAATGTTTAATCCTAAACTACCTGTAAATTCGCCATAAACAACTATCATATTACATCATAAACAATTATAGTATAAGTAAATTCTGTCACCTGAAAGAGTAGAGAAGGGGAAGTCTGGTACTGCAATTTATCGCCAAGGTACCCTCAGTATGGGCGCTAGTATATCTTCAAACATGAATCCTTTGAACAAGGTATGTTAATTTCATAACTCACTGTAGTGCTGCCACTACCCTATGAATGCAAAATATTGAGCATTCATGGTGTAGTGCTGCCACTTAGAATCAAAAGGAAATACTAGAAACTCATCTTTTGGTGTAAAAAAACTAGCATTTTTAGGAGGTTAAAAATGACAAACTTCCAATATATTTTATATGTTGGTGCCCTTTAAAGAATTAAGCTGCAGAATGATATAAATAACAGAAATTTATTTTATGGCTACCCTCTGTTTAGTTTTTAAATAAAAATTGTGTTTTATTTTTAAATATGACTATGTCTTACTCTTATTGTACTATAACTTGTATATGTAACTGTAAAGAGTGTCACATTTGTCATTTTCTTTCTTTAGACCTTATTTTGAAATGAAAGCAAAATTCAATCAGTTGCTTGAAGTAAGTTCTATTTAATTTTGGGCAGTTTTAAGAAATTTTCCATTCACTACAATGCCAGCAAATAATACAAATTCCAGTTCATTATTTCTGAAAGCATATTTTTTAATATGTCATGGTAATATTCTAAATTCATTTTTTATGTAGGAGCAAAGGAAAAAAGTTCATCATTTAGAAGAAAACGTTTTAAAAGTGAAAATGAGCTATGCAGATGCATTACACAATCTAGAAGAAATCAGTGATGAAATTCATCAAAAACGAAAAAGGCAAGAGAATCAAATTGTAAATGAGAGAAGTGAAGATGTAAGCGCAGCATCTCCTAATTACACATGGGATGGTTTGAAAATACCGTATCATAAATTTAAGAGCAACAGTGTTTCTTGTGAAGTAAGTAAAAAATTAACTTCTCATTTATAAAAAAGTAAATCTGCTAATGTAACTACAAGTCTATGTAGGGTCATTATATAAAAACTTGATACTGTAATATTAAGATACATTTTTTTTTGTTTCTTTAAAAACCAGAACTTGAGTGATTTAAATGAAGATTTAATTGAAATATGAAATGTATATGTAATATTGAAGATTCTGTGAAATAAAGGAGGTGCACTTTCAACTGTTTAAACCATTTGGGTAAAAGACTAGAATATTATATATTATAGAGCACTCCACTGCTAACATAGTTCTATTTGTGCTTGCATTCCAAACTGTTGCCATTCACAAGTTATTAAATACTAAATGTTAATTTTCCCATTTAGTATTTACTAAATGTTACATCTTTCTTTTGTTTAAAGAATTCAAAAGTTTTTTTTTTTTTTTAAGTCCAAAATCATTCCAAATACCTAGCCAGCTTTCTAATCACTCTCACACTTCTAGATCTTCCCTCTCCATCCCTTGTTTCTGAATTAGTGGAGTTTGATGATTGATCTTCTGAATTTTACTCTTGAGAATATCTGGGTTTTTTTTTTTTTTTTTTTGAGTAACTTCTTGTTCGGTTCCTCTGATCTTCTCTTCAGCAGTTGCTGTTTTCTTTAGTGTCTCTAATGTGTTTTTTTTTTTTTTTTTTTTTTCTTTCTGTTTCTTCTGAATACTGTTCCTGCTGATCTCAGTATATATGATCTGGGCATCTTAAATACTTCTGCAATTGCTGGTTTCCAGTGATTATCTTGACATACCCTATAATCTCCTTTGCTTAATGATGGTAATGTTTTTGTATGATGATCATAATATAGCGTGTTTCGTTTTTTTAAAGGTTCTTATTCTTTCTTGGTTGGTTTTTTCTTTTAAATTTTTCACAATTTGAGGTTTTAATAATTCTGATGTAGGAAGACCTTGTTCTTCTACCCATAAGTTGTTGAGCTGGTGATCCTGATATCTTCTTAGTTGCAGTGTTCTTGTGAGCTAACAGTGCTAAGTAAAGATCAGCATGATCTGCTTAATCTTTTTTTAACAATTTCTTCCCCCATTTGTACTAATTGCTCTACTAATCTATTCAACTGCAGATTGTATGGACTGCTCATTTTATTTTTATATTGGTATTTCTTGGCAAATACCCTAAATTTTTACTTGCATCCATTATCAGATATCACTATCAGTGGTATGCCATGTCTTGCAAAATGAGATTTCATATAACTAATCACTGTCTTATTTTGAGTATCTGATAATTTGGAGATTTCAAAAAAGTTGGAACAGTAATCTGCAGTTAATAAGTATAAATCTTTGTTAATCTCAAATAAACCTGTTGCAACTTTACACCATGATAAATTAGAAACTTTATGTGGTATCATAGATTGGCTTATGTTTTTATTCTGATATTCATTACATATAGGACATTTTGAAATTTTATCTTTCATCTGCTTGTTTCATCTGCAAGTGGCCAAAAACTTTAGCATCTCTTTTTTCATAGACAAAAGGATAATTAATTACTTTTCCTCCTTTGAAGAATAAGTCATTTTCCAGTGTCGACACATCTCTGTAGTCCAAAATACTTTAGTTGATGTTTCCTGTCTAGCTAACCTCCCAGGATATATATTTTTTTAAACACTGTGTTGTAGCATCACATTCAGTTTCTTTCTTCATCAGTTTTCTGATCACATGCTGTAATCAACATCTTTCTCTTTCTTCATCATTATCTACTATTTTATTCAAATATGTTGTACTTAGTCTTTCCTTTTTTTGTAATGTACATCTAGATAATACTCTTGAAAATTTGAATTTGCAATCACTGACTTAAAAAGAGGTTGCTTAATTGTGCTTTCTTATTGTCGATGATCAGTTTAAACTGTAATGCATTTGCCATATATATATTGATTAATTTAGAACATGCAAAGTAATGGCCTATTTTTTCTATCTGAGCATAATTTTTCTGACTCTGTTAGGGCTCTGGAAGCATAAGCAAATGGTTGATTTTCTTGTAGTAAAACAGTACCTAAACCTTCAAAATTTGCATCTACTAAAAGAGTAACATCTTTGTTGACATCATAGAATTTTAATACTGCTGCTTTTACAACCATTTCTTTAACCTTTTCATGGGGTGCACCTTTGTTTAAGATGATTGTGCTGGATGGAAGGGAGTCGAAGGCAGTCGCCACGCAGGACGGGATTTTGCATCATTAAGCCTAACTTCAGGACTGGAAAAAATCATAAAAAAAAGTTTTACCATTTTAGATTATTACTTAAGCTCTTATATATGTTACAATTAGCATTAATAATATTTTTTCTTTATTTCACATAAAAATATATTTAAAAAATTGCTTATCTTGTAAAATAATTTTCAGAAGCACTGTTCAAGTTATTACAAAGTTTTAATTGACAAAAATCCGTTAATAGAGTTTAAAATTAATAAAACAATACATTAAAAACTATTTCCAGTAAGAAGTAACAAAATTTAAAATGAACATTGAATGTGGTAAATCTCAAAACATGAAGAAACACAAAGTCCTACATTGTTGGAGTTTAATATTGTTAAATCCTTCAGCTCCCCCCAAACATTTTTTATACCACTTAACTTTTTTCGAAAACATGAATTGTGTGTCATGACTCTGTCCTATGTGTACACCACCTATGTTTTCATTATAATCTATTAACACATTTAGGTTTTAAAATGTCTTTTCCAGTAATTCTATCTTTTCTGCCAGATTTAGCCATTTATGATCCATGTGGGCTCGTTAGCATAAAAACATCTTTCTTTTTTTCGTTGCATTAAATCCAATTTACCCTTTATAGTTTTTGTCCTGGAAAGTCTTTAGGCATTCTTTTTCCTGTATTTAATTCCACAAACGTTTTTGTGGAATGCAAATATTCTGCAAGTGTTAGGGAATTGAAGAAAGGATCCAAATATAAATTAAACCCTTTCTCATATAAGTCGCTAATCAATGTTTTTGCAACTTTTTCTTCGCAAGACCCGTTGCTGCATAACATTTCTGTGTCCTTCCCTGAGTAAATTAAAAAATTCCATATATATAACCAGTAACTGATTCCCATAACTTATATATTTTTATCCCATGACACGATTTTTTGGATACAACTTGCTGTCGAAAGCCAAGACGTCCTTTCCAGCAAAAAGAGATTAATTAATTCAAATATTTTCCTTGGGTATTTAGTTTCTTTTAAATTTATTTTTTAGGTTTTCTATGATTAATCCTAGTTTTCCCAACATAATAGCGCTCTTGTCTGAGCTGAAATGCAAAAATTAAAAAATATTAAGGAATGTGTTTGTAGGCATGGCTCTATTGAAAAGTAGAGTAGCAAATATTTCGTTTGTAATGAAATACGTCTTCAGATTAAGCTTCTTGATAATGCCCATCAGTATTATCATTACAAAAAATACTTATATTCTCAGTTTTATGTTATATTCTCAGTATTTACATCTGAAAATCTAGCTGAATTAAAAGTTGACAGAGCACTTTGAGAAAACCTCTATTTCTCCAGCAATCAAATTTTATAGATCATCATCAAAGAAAATATTAGAAAAATCAATTTCTTTTTCAGCATTTACTATAGAATTTATTCCGGGTGTTCCAGTAAATGTTTGGGGATGCAATTCCTCAAGTGCGAGAGTCCAAGATGAAGTACCTTGAATCGCACTTTCACAGGAAGTTGAGGGCAGCCAACACTGAGCTCTGTCTCTGATAAAATGTCTGTATCAGAATCACTAGAAGTATCACTTTTTAACTCTTTAAAAAATTATCATCATTCTCGTCTGTGTCAGTAAATGGGTCATTTACCATACAAGTGTATTCTTCTTCTGATATATAATGCCTTTGTGCCATATTAGATTGGGGTCAAGGCTTTCTGAAATAAAAAGTGAAGGACCTGAAATATATCTGAAGGCAATGCAAAATGTAACTAAACCTCACACAGTAACCCTAAAAAACTAAATAATAGAGGGGATAAAAGAATAAAAAAAAGGAATCCGATATAAATCAGAAACGTTAATGTTTATATTAGCACTTGGAGATTTAAAGAGCTCGGCTTTGTTTACATTATGCTTTCCCACCACCCTCGCTACAGTTGATGAGTAAAATAGCAAAGTCATGCAGAATATATGCAAACTGAAGGTCAGAAACGTAAAACTGTTCATTTCAAAAGTAATAGACGTAGGGTGCCATTTAGTAGGAATGCATATATGGGACACCTGTCCAGAAAGGGTTAAGTGTTTGAAAAGCTGTTTTATGTTTTCCAGTTTACTGCTAGAGAACATTTTTCTCAGGTAACTGTCTTAATGATGCACTAATAGGAGTTAGGAATAAATTTGGCCAAGTAAATAAGCATTCCTAAAAATCTGAGAACCAAGAAATGCTGAGAACGTTGTAGAATTTTATCAATTGCTTCTACATTAGAGGATATTTTCTCGTATTCTTTGGTCATGTTCATAGGTCATGTTCCTTTTGATTAGATCCCCATATTAAGATATGGTCTATAATGCATTCAGTGCCTTCTAGACCTTCTACAATTTGGTTTAATTATCTTTGGCAAATTTTTGGACCTGAACATATGGCAAAAGGTGTATTCAATGTACACAAATTACTACTTAACTTCATCTGGTAGGATTTGCCAAAAAGCACTATTAGCATCTAAAATAGAAAATATTTTTGCTTTTGGCATTCTTGTGACAACTTTGTCTACAGTTAACATAGGATAATGTTCTCATTTTATAGCTTTATTAAAATCTCTGGAACCTAAATATATTCTTATTTTGTTAAGTTTGACAAAAGAGACCACTGAATTTACCCATTCGGTTGGCTGGCTTTCTTACTTTCTCAGTGATAGTTAAGTTTTCCAATTGTTGTAGTTCTTTCTTCATTTTATCTCCTATATGTGTACGTTTCTTGAAGGATGAATTACTGGTATTTCCTCTTGTTTTAACTGGATTTTATATTCCCCATGCA